CAATGGCCAGACACTTCAAGTCATAACAAGTTAGTGAAGCGAGCTAATTTTGCTTGCAAAAGAATTAGCCTTTATTAGCCACTAATACCACATTTTGCCCTGCGCAGCCCTTTAACCAGCTGCAGCTCCATTGACATCACATTTTGGAAAGATTACTAGTGGCACGTCTGGTTATGGAAAGCTTAGAGGGCTTCCTAGATCAGCTACCACTTACTAGGACAGCAGAGGAATGAACTTACATTACCACACTGTAGGCATTCATATGGGATAAATCTTGTCATTCGGGCCACGAATTCTGCAAGGCATTTTTGCCTGTGTCTAATTTTTATCATATGTTTATCACATGTATAGATACCTAGTATAAGGCATGCATATTAGTAACTTAATGAATTGAAGCCAGAGCTAATGAAGAACATGTACAGAATTGCATATGTACATATATTTTATACATGTATGTATATAGTCATATATATATATTTGTGTATATGTCATCATGTTTAGTCCTAGTTTTGGAGATAGTGATGGAATCATTAATACTTTATGTTTTTCTGTGTTCGCCATTTCTGTAGAATTGAGGAGAGTCAATAGCCTAGCTGCACTCATAGGCTCTAACTTCAGATATTTTGTGTATGAATCACTATGATTTATAAACCCTGGGTAAACCCAGTATAGTTACATTTTTTCCTATGGAAGTGTTAGACTGCAGTGGTACCTTACAACTTTGTGATAACTGCTGTAGATCTAAAAATCGCAAATTAACCTGCTGATCTAGAGGATTAGACAAAAGATCAAGTCTATTTTAATCAGCTATGGTACTTCCTACACAGAAAAACAGTAGAAACACTTAAGATCCTAATCAGTTGAGTACAGGCAAACTCACTTGATTTCATTTCAAAGGGTTCAAAGTCCAAATAAGAAGCAAAATTCATTTTTACTCTGAATAATGTTTAAATAAACACGGTACAAGGAAGCTGTACAGGTTGCAATGCTGATGGAGAAGAGAAAAAAATCTAAATAAAATAAAAGTGTATTAAGCAAACTGCTTTCAAGTTTTCATTAATTGTAGTCTAACTCTGAAGAAGAGGGAGAACAGCAAGTATCCTAGGTTCTCAGTCAAGCTATTTAGATGGGGAACCAAAACCAGTTGCATTTTTTAGTATATAACCATAAAAAAGACCCATGAAGGCAACTGATGCCTAAAAGTAGTAAAAAACCCAGTAAAGGAAAGGCAGGGAGATAACCTTACCTTCAGATTTGCCTACCTCAAAAAAAAAAGCAGGGTGTGGGCCCCTGCACACTGGGAACATGCCTCGGTCACTGGAAGTAGTAGTCCTGCTGTTTCAAGAAGCACGGCATCACCATGCATCTCCTATAGCATCAGGAAGTCTCCCAACAGATGGGCTACAGTTTCAGCCTCGTGTGATGTCTTTTATATTATTTTTTTTCTAATCTAATAAATAAGGAGTAGGTCCCGAAAGAATCTGTTTCTCCTGCAATATAACAGTAATAATGTACAGCAGCAATTAACATGTTCTGGTATAGCTAGGATGCTCAACACACTTTAAACCCAAACTGAGTAAAAAGAACAAAGATGGTTGAATTATTTCCTTTAACGTGATATTTTTTGTGGATCAGATACATGGTTAGCAGCATTCCTAGCATCAACTCTTCATCATTTAGAAAACTGTAAGGAAGGCATCCCTGGGACCAAACTGGAAATTCTGATGGCCATATTTCAGTATGGAGCAGCTGAAACACAGAATCAATATTTAGCATTCATGGATAGGATGTATGAAAGAAAGGGAGCCCTTTCTCACCAAAAGCATATCTGAGCAGAGGGAGCCCATCCAACCAGACTTCAGGTTGAATACATTTGCCATGTACCACAGTCAAAATAAGTGTCATCTGCACTGTGTGATGACTGCCAGGGATACTGACAGTCTCAGCAAGTTTCTGGATTTGATGCATCAGGCACTGAGTTGCCATTGACCCACATGGAAAGGACAAACCTGAAAGGAGGGATTATGATTGGCACAGGCCACTTGGATTAAATCTGTACGATGGTAAAAATCAGGCTCAGATTTTTGCTTATATTTCCTCTCCCTCCCCCGATCCCAGAGCTCTTGTGATTAAAGAGTGGAGAACAATGTCAGATCTCACACAGAGTCAGCATGGCATGAGACGGGGATTCTGCGCTAAAACAATTTTATGGATATATGCTTTCAAATGAAATCAAAACTTCCCAAGCACTGCAGCCCTTCTGCTCCCAAGGCTTTCCCAACTTCTGGGGGTTATTGGCAGTTACCTAAGGACTTATTTTAAGGAATAACTGGAAAATTGCAGTAGTCTGGATCTGTCATAAACAACCAGTCACAATCCAACATGGGACACTGCACTGCTGGGCACCCAGGCAGTCTGGGAGCACAGAGGCCCTGCAGCTGGGGCTGGAGCAACAAGGAGCATATTTTACAGTCCCCTTACCTCCTGTGCAGTCAGCTCCTGGCTACAGAAAGCATGCAGTTGTGCTTAAATTAGGGATTTAATTTGGGGGGAGTTGAAGTTACATGAAATCTTTGTAGAGAGGCATCTTCCATGCCACCTCCCCCAGGAAACAAGTGTTTAGAGTTATTTGTCCCAGGTCATACCAGCAGAGCAGCTTGGCTATCAATTGCAAGGACGTTTGGTGGACTTATCGGATTATAAAACACTGAAGTGTGATGATTATTCAGCAAGTGCCCTCTCTAGTCACCACAACCATCATCTGTGGCTTACCAGCCAGAAACTTCGAGTCATAAAAACAGAAGCTGTTAAGTAGTGAGCCACATGTGCTCATCTCCAGCCTGCCAAACCACCCACCACAGCAAAGCTGGAGTGCAGCACTGGTGCACCTTAACTTTCAGTGAGGCTTATCAGTCGGAGGCTGTTATATTGCGTTTGTCATGTATTATCTTGATACTTATGTGCTGCAGGTTCTTTCATAAATTGTTCAGTAAGGGGTTTTGGCAATGGTTTCATGTTACAAGGCTTCTTTTTATAACCCCCACTGCCTCTTTCAGGCCCTATCCACCAGTTCCTTGCAACTATTAATAAAGTATCCCTTCCTCCAGCTGTGAGAGCAGGCTTTGCAGCCTGTTTTTAAGCTATTGTTGCACTTCTAACAATTAGGACTTCACAGCTTACACTTCATTATTTTCTTTCCTTGAATCCAAAGTGCATTTTTAAAAGAGCTATGTCAGCTGACATCTAGTCCTAAAAATAGGCATTCAAAAAGCTAAAACCTATAGAAATGCTTCCAGGACTTTTTTTTTTTTTTAATTCAATGCCAGTATTTCTTTTAAATGAAATTTCTTCTGCAACACAAACAAGACTGCTCTGTATTAGCAAGAAAGAGTTTGAGGGCAAAGTTAACTCTAAGTTAACTATCCTGACAGCACCCATGCTCACACTGTCCTTTTAAAAAGTCTGTCCTCTTGCAACACCACCTTGACTAGATTCATCCACACAGTGGACAGAAAGATGGAAAACACAGGTTGTATATATGCACTATAATTATAATAATTCTGTAGCTGTTACATCTATTCCACATATGCAACAGTCAGGACTGATCTCACTACCATCTTAGCAGAAGACCACATCTAAATCTTAGATGAAGTCTTAGAGCAATTAGGAGGTTACAGAAGAGAAGCGCAGAGCCAACGTGCTGTCACGCTGCTCAGCTTTGCTTCCTGTAGCCTGGACCACAGCAGGATGCACATTCTGGGTTCCATCATAGCAGTACCAAATCTACTCTCCTCAATGCAGCAAGCCAAAGATCAGACACTGAAATGATGAAGAGTGAACAAGGATTTTGATTGCATTCTTTGTTTCTTCTTTCATTATTTCATGCCATATTGACACACCACACAGACAACTGAGTTTTAGAAGACACATGCTCTGCACTCCTTTCAACCTACTCTAAAATTTTGCAGGTTTGGACCCTTAAAAAATGGAGGTACTCAAAATAAACAATCACTTTGAAAATCTTGGCCCATATCCCAGTAGAGAGTGAATATAGTCACGTACACAAAAACTTTCAAACTACACAAAAATTAAACATTAGAACAATAAAACCACAACAGGCAAAAGGAAAACAAGATACTCAGTACGATGCAGCAGCTAAGATCATGTAGCTCTCACTTATCTATTTAAATCTTAATTAATCACTACTTGGTTTGTTAGTCCCTGCCACGAGCCAGAACCCCATTAACTATCTGTTCCTTGAAAAGCAACCCAAAACACAATTCCTAGGACATCGTTTAAAATTTGTGCAGTCAGAGCAATACTCTGTGCTATGTTTTACCTGAGCTGTTTCCTCTTCCTTACTGAATGACTGAAGTCCCAGATTTCTTATTAACTGCTGCCATTTCTGTCTTTTTCCAGTTGACTCCATCTTTCAGAGAAGTTGTTACCTCTGCAGTTCTTGTATCATTTTTGATTTAATGAGAATATAAAGCTGTACAAAAAGGTGCTTGATTAATATTCTTCTTTTGTCTAAACATACTCATTCACAAAACCAAAATGCATGGCCAGAAGTAACAGGAAGCATCAGTTCTTGAACAATAAAACCACTGAAAGAAAAAGTTTTACAAGCCAGCTCTGGTCCACAGACCACAATGTAAAAGCTGTTAGATTAAATTATTTTCATTGTCTAGGGTGGAAAAAAGGAAGGGGAGAAAGAAAGAAAGAAAGAAAGAAAAAAAAATCCTTGTACATCATCATAATTAGAGCTGAAAAAAATATGGGAATTTAATCGTATAAAATACTTTGGCATTCCACATTTTTTTCAAAAGTTGGGATGAATAAGTAAATATCAATTGTTTTTCAATTAAAACAAAAAAAAATCAAATAAAACCCCAAAGTTTGGGGTTATTTTGGGAAGAAATTCCAATTTTTAGTATTCATGAACTGAAAAATTTTGTTTCAACTTCCTGGGTTCTTTTTCTATTGCACTTCTCACGAGTTACAGGAGTAACTGCCTTGCATCCCTCATCCTTTTCTATGGGATAATGACTACCATAATGTACCAAGCTGCTCAAAGAGAACTAGGATTCTGCTTCTTAGTGGCAAATCCCAGTTGACAAGCAAGCTCAGACCAGCAAAGATACTGGGAGCAGTAAGCATGTAAACTATAAATTGACTAAAGAAATAGACCACAAAAGGGAAATGCAGAATTTACTCAAAATTAAATAGTCTTAAAATGGAATGGTCCATTTTTATTTTCTGAAAGAATAATAAAACAGCACAATGTTAAACAATTAAAATTTTTCTAAACATTTTTTTTTAAATGTTCATTTTTTGGAAGTTGCATTATAATGTCATCATGACAGAAAATTCCTGCCCTGTCCAGATTTGTCCCTTTGAATCCCTGGTATTTCATACTCCCTACAAGATAATTCTGCTATCAAAATCACCTTTGAATATAAGGCAAAAAGCAGGCTAGGGCACAAGTGGTAGAGAAGCTACAGTAATGTTTCCATTGGGTCTATTCAGGAAACTCTCCATGCTAGGGGAGCATATCACAATGTTATTGTAATACAGGGAAGCAGGGCAGTTTGCTAGTTAAACTACACAGCACTGGCCAACACGACTCTTAACTTCTTTTCCAAGATCTGCCACTGACCTACTGTAGCCTTGTGGAAGTAATTTTGACTATATTTGGAAGGTATAATAGGATATCTATTTTCTTCCACAAGATGCATAAGACATAACTCATGTCTACATAATACTATAGAAATCCACAGTCAGAAAGGGACTAGGGAAATGAAAGTGGAAACAAATATAACAAATATATATTTGATGCTGTTCTCTAACCCTCTGTTTGTTTAAATAACATGCCCTTCCCTGTAGCTGTATTGAGTGGTTCTTGCTGCACGCTGTAGGAGTTCTATCATATTGGAATTGCTTATCTTCAGCATGACTTAACATTATTTTATTTTTAAAGCAATTTTTTTAAATAGAAGGGTAAAACAAACTCATGAGAGAAGCTTTCAAAATAAATATTCCTTCTGGGTTTTCTCGGGTGTTTTTTCTTTATACAGACCAGATTGCCGCACTACCCCACCTAACACAGGAACTGAAGAGAAGGACAAGAGAGGAGACAGCTTACACTCTTTAAGTGTCCACAGTTGTCTTGGATGACCTGGAGGACTGTCTAGGCTCAGGGCCACTTTATTTTATACTCAGTTGAAAATGCTGCTTGAAGCTGGGCAGGAAACAAGCTTCATGAGCCCAAACCACAGATGGCACGCTTGTCTTCACCATAAGATTCACTGGGGGTTGAAATCTGGGAGAGACCATTTGGGAGAGCCCACAATGTCACTTCTGAAGCACAAGCTGTGTTGGTCCACAGGCAAAAGGCAAGCAGGGTCTCTGGGTGCCAGAGTACAAAAGGAGCCTGTATGCATGAGAGCCCTTATAACTGGCAGACTCTAGGACTTGCAAAGTCAGAGCAATGAAGCCCAAAATACATATATATGCAGAACGAGCTACAAACTTTCCACCCTGATGAAAGCACAATGAGGAAAATCTTTCCGACAGATTCACAGCTGGTTTCAATCTACAGCCTAAGCATATCTAATGGGCCGCCTTTATCAGAGAAGCTCTCATAGGGTTCTGGCTGCTACCGAGGGCAGTTTGCCACTGTGCAGACCCCTCAACAAAAGTCAGAGAGGACACTGTGTACTGCCTACACAAACTGAGGCATAGGGTAATAGGGACCATCTGCTACAAATTCTGGCTCTCCTTGCACCTTTATTAATCCATTCCAGCTCCTAAGAACTTACTGCAGTTCATGTAGCTGCCCTATTAAAGCACCAGAAAAATGCAAGACATACCTCTCAAGAATCTTATTTTTTCTTATATCACTCAGAGATAAATTAAAGGATTCTACTGATATGAACACAAAAAGTAATACCTGGTCTTGAGCACTCCTGAGTGAAAATCTGGCTTCGCTAGAGACGGGAGGCTTTTCTATTAGGAGAGGTTAAAGAGAAACTACCACATTCAGTAAAAGCAGGACTTTTACCTTCTTTTACAGCACATACTAAAAGAGAAAAAGTTCAAAACCCCACATCCATTTATGAAAATTTACACACTAGGGACTTGTTGAGAAGTTACTGTATGCATGTCATGTAGTAAGTAAAAAGTACTTCAAATATACATTACCTTATTTTTCCCTCCAGTGGTTTACAGATTTGCCCTGAGACAATAGAAGTTTACAGGGAAGGGGGAGATGTCTGTGATTAAGGCAGATTTCAGCTCTTCTTCCTACAGATACCCCGTGGATATTGCTGTGTTCTCCAGAATCTAAGCTCCCACTTAAAAAACAATGAAGTTTCTAGCCCATCTGGGTTTGCGGAAGCAGAATGTAAACAGATGTACTGTTGTCTTATTTTAGAAGCTATAGCAAGCCAGACTGAAACAATAGCACTAAGAAATGTCAACTGTTCCCATTCATCTCAGTGGGGTGGGGTGTTAACTTTGAAGCCTAATTGTGACCACTTTAAAGCCAGCCTTTTAACCATTTCACTGCTTATTGCCACACCAGAAACTCCAAAGTAATGAACTTACCCAGTCTCTGTATTTGTATGCATTACTCTGAGATCTTCCATTCACTTGAAAAGGACACTGCATTACAATCGAGCTAGCTTGAATATTCTTTCACTTAAGAAGTTAGCTGAATTGTTTGCTACTGTCTTTCAAAATTAGGGTTAAAAGAAAGTCAAGGGTGAAAGGTTAGCTTCATTGTTGATGCTCTCAAAAGTGCAACACGTGGGATTTCATGCTTTTTGCTTTGATCAGGGTGCACGAATGGCAGTTCATTTCAATAAACTGACAAACAGCTACATACAAAACTGAAAATAATTACTATTCAAATACCACAGCACCATCAATTAGGAGTAAAAAAAATCTTAATGACATGGTAACACATACTTGCAACAATAAAAGGAGGAAAGAGAGAGGGAAAGGGACTTAATTTTCAAGAACTTATGACTGCTGTTACCTTAAATCTAAGGTGCATTGAGCCTGGTTCTGAGCATACAAAGAAGTTGCCTTTCTAAAGATGTTTTACATCCCATTTCCAAGACATTGATGCATTCTTCATCAGTAGTCACTCTGAAGTCAGTACATGAATTTTTCCCTGGGACCAGTAGTTGCTGTCTTGCATCTCTATGCACACATTTTTGTAAATGTGACTTTAGATGCTGTGGGAACTCATGCTGAAAATTATTAGGGCGAGCTACTCTAGCTTATGTTTCTGAGCATCCAAGGGCCCACCGGTGTGCATCTGGGCTCTGGGTCCCAGAAGCCGTGGTGCTGCAGGGCACAAGGGAGATGCCTGGCCCCATTTGGTGAGGCTGTTTGCAGCACATCTCCTGGCTCTGGGCCCAGCCAGCCCTCCGGCCCATCTCCTTTCTGCAGGACCTTTCTGCAGTCTCTGCCACAGGTGGCACAGGACTGCTGAAGAGCAATATATGCACTTCCCAGCTCCCACTTCTAGGATTACACCTGCACTGATGATCCAACCACAAGCCTTTTTACTTGTTGTCATTTTCTTCCTAACATCACACATATTTGGCTGAGAAGTCAACACCAACTTCACCACTGCACTACCATCATTAGCACATCCATGTTAGGTATCTTAACTAGATAATGCTGACATGCCTCAAGATGCCCTCAGTGCAGCTACAGCCACCAGCTCAGTGGGAGTATGGTCCAAGTCAGATACATGACAGAGCTAAGGGAATGGCATCACCCAGCAAAAGATCTGGAACAAACAGCTGGGACAGGAACAACCTCTGTAGCTCACAGAGCAGCAACTAAAAGCAAGCAAGGTGGAAGGAACCCACCCTATATTTACTGCAAGATAACTCCCTGAGTGCACATTCTCATTCCTGAATAAAACTGTCTTTACTTGAGAAGGTCATGAACTGGCATAAGAGTGCCTACGTGTGGTAGGGAATAGTGTTATTTTGGTAGAAGGGGGAAACTTTCCTGTCTACACAAAGCCTAGGTGTTTGTGGAAACAAAGCCCTAATTCATGCAGTTCAGGTTCTTTCGCTTGCTGCAACAGACAATACTCTGACATTGTTATTAGCACATTATGAATGCACAATCCTTCCATGTGTAACTTCCACTGTAAGCTGGGCATTTGGGTGTTTGGAGTTTGCCCTGACTAATAAAAACACCAGATCCAAATTCCCCTATCATCAAATATCAGTATTTCCTAAATCGTGATCTTTAACCCGCAACAGCAGATCTGTAAAATGGTCATGTTAGGAAACTGGAAATAAACCTCTGTTTTCACTTAAAAGCCTGCAAGTGCTGACTTCACACACAAAAGGCCTGGTATGGGAAGACAGACAGACACCTTCATTTTCTGTTGACTTCGATCAGCTGCAGCAAGGTGATCAGTTCCCTGCAGAAGGTGCTGAATAAGATCACATATAAGTTCACAGAAGTGTCTGAGTGCTGCTGAACATGTTTTCTGCAGATGCTTAGAGGTACAGAACAAAGGCAGCTGAAAACAGACTTGGTAAGTTTACAGTTTTACTTTATCACTGTATTAAATTCCCATTCAACATCAATAAGACACCACACACTTGTTATAGAAAGAATAAACATCCTCATAAAAACTAGACTCGCCACTCTCTGCCTTGCCTCGCATCCCTCTTCTTTTCAACTGCTAACAAGTAAAACAACCCCCCGACAGCTGGATGTGCAGAAGCCTGTGCCGGCGGTGTCCCGGTCCGGAGCGACGCTGCGGGCTGGAATGCTGACGCTGGCAGGGCTGCCACTGCGTTTACTTAACACTCATTTCTCTCAGTCTGCTTCAGACCAGAAATGCAGGCAATGAAAACCTATTCAAACTTTGAGAACCTCAGCCATAGCAGTTAGCAGAACAGGGTCTTTGCAGGTACATGAAAGAGGCATTCAGAAGACTCTCCCATTCAAGGGAGGTAGAACGAGAGC